TCTCATCGCAGGGCCCAGCGGTGCCTGACCCCCCATGAGAGGAAGGCCCGGGACCGCTGGCGGGCCCCGCAGCGGCACCATCGGCGGCGGTAGACCAGGTCCCGGAGGCCCTTGCGGACCCCCGGCGGTGGCGGCGGTGCAGGCACTCCCTGAACAGGTGGCGCTTGTGGAGGTGGTAGTACCGGCGGCGGAGCCTGCAGAGGTGGCGCAGGTGGTCCCTGTGCAGGTGGAACTTGCGGCTGCGGGGCATAATCTGCTAGAAAATTAGTCATTCGAATGTCCATCATCCCCGGTAACGCTTCCATCACATCGTGGACCGTGCGCATCAGATCTCTCACCGATTGTTCCAGCTCCTCCAGCCGTTCCCTTGTCGTTTCCTCCGGGATCGGCTCCCGTGGTTGGTATTCAGGAGGCGGCCCATAGTCTCCCTCCGTCTGGAAGTCCGCGGCTCCCTCTGAGGATCCTGCCCGGGCTCCCTCCCCCATCGGTTCAAACATCCAGTCTTCCACGTCTCTCCGATAACTCCCAGTCTCCCCCGAACTCCCGGAGTCGGGAAACATTCCTTTGTCGAAAAGACTTTCTCGAAGCCCACTGCCTCGACGGGAATACACCTCCCTGGTGCCTTGGGTGTTATACAAAGCCCAATCATCCTGTGCTGGGGTCTTCCGCGCACCCCAATGCGAAGGGGTCGGTGGCGGCCACGACAGGTATGCAGGCATTCGGGGAATCGCTCCCCCCACAGCACCTTCCCCTGGTGCGGTAGTTGTTACAATCAAAGGTGCGGAGGTAGTTGGGACCGATCCCGTGTCCCCCTCCGTGGTAGGTAGGTATCCCTCAGACCCGCTCATGGTCTCGCCAGAATCGGGACGATAGGAAAAGAAAAGTGTTCTAACAATATGTTGGATCCCCAAGCATCGAGAATAAATCCACGTTTCAAAGAAAGCAAAGTTTATTTCAAAGCATTGGAAAGACACTCAAACACGTTCTTTGTTAGAACTGGGGACCAGCAGTTAGGGCAGACATGATAAAGGGATTCAAGTTAGATACAGAACCAATGGATAACGTTCCCGCCGGCGGGCAGGAGAAAACGGTTCCTTGCTCAGATCTTGGGAACCAGGCAAACAGTAGACACAACACAGGTGCAGTTCTCAGGCTTGAGAAATAACAAGCTGGCAGCGAAGCATACTCTCCCCCTCACATCCTCCAGTTGTTTTACTTTGGCATTACAGCAGGCAAACACATAGGTCAGCTGGCAGGGACAGGGATCACATATGTACAACCAGAAGTCACACAGAACACCATGGCAGCTTGCTGACTAATGCCAGTGGCTCACAAAGTAGAATTTTTGCTCACAAAACTCCACAGCTTAGAGGGAGCCTTGGTGGGCACATGGCCTTTCTCCCCCCTGCCAGCTCGTTGATGGCAGGATCGCCATGGGTCTCCAGAATCCTCCGTCTGGGCCCCCCCCCACACGCCATTTCGGCCTCCCCTAACATCCAAACGAACACACACGACATTCCTGACCAGAAAAGGTAACGCTTTACACACTTCCCCCCAGTATTTCGGATATGGTAGCATTGTGATCTTCTTCGTGGTCTCTGTGCTTGACATTGCCCCTTGAGAGCTGACTATGCTCATGCTTACCTTGTAAATCTTTGCTGTTTATGAAAAAGAATAAAAAATTATCTGGTAAAGAAAAGAAAAGATAACGCTGCCTCTATCCCCCAGTGACACTTTGCCAAATTCCCAGGTTGATCAGGACTGCCGGGATGTTGTATCCCTAGTATTCTCCACCCCCCCAAATTTGAGCAGTTGTGATGAGACGGGAGGCAGTGGCCGCTTCCCCAGCAGGCCACTGTCCTCTGTTCCCTGGCTCGCCCACGCAAGGATTGATGGCTGCGAGGAGCGGCAGTGAACAGCCCGAAGGGACGGGACCGGAGAAGCAAATGGCAGCTGCTCCTCCTAATTACAGCATCTGCTCGGTTCACCTGGGCCAGTGTGGGAAGAGGCATCCGTAACCAGGAGCAATTACCAGCCATCTGCTTGCCTGCTGCCTTTACTTGCTGTAACAGCCGGGGCTCGGGAGGTCTTGCTGGTGGCCACCAAAATCTGGAACCCGCTCTGCTCAAAGTTGGGATGCGGCGCCGGGACTGTCCCTAAGGGAGATGTAGGAAACCGGCCTTATAATCCTGGCCTAGAGGATGGGATCCGGGAGGAAGGGTCATCGCGAGGCAGAGTCTGCATCCAGGAATCCAGCCAGTGAGATTGAAACTGTGGATGCTGAAGAATCATAGAATCATAGAGTTGGAAGGGGACCTCCAGGGTCATCTTGCACAATGCAGGAAATTCACAAATACCTCCCCCTCCACACACCCACAGTGAACGATGTTCCATGCCCAGAAGATGACAAAAAACCTCCAGGATCCCCGGCCAAACTGGCCTGGAGAAAAATTGCTTCCTGGCCCCAAAGTGGAGATCAGCATTTCCCTGGGCGTCCAAGAAAGGGCCACGAGAACTAAGCACTGAGGAGTGGACAGTGGGCAGGTGTTCCCTCTAAGCTGAGTTAGTGTGAGCTAGCTCACAGTTTTTTAGCCTCCAGCTCACCCATTTTTGTCTCCGCTCAGGAAGGATGGCTCCAGAGCCAACTAATTTGTGCAGGAGCCAAATCGCTCGCTCGCAACTTTAATGCCAGTAGCTCACAAAATAGAATTTTTGCTCACAAGACTCCACAGCTTAGAGGGAGCATTGCAGGAGGACAGGCAGGTTGTCGAAGCAGCTGAAAGTCTGGGAAGAAGGGAGGCTGGGAGGCCAGGCAGTGAAGTGGAGGCACCTCCAACCTCACAGCCCAGGCTGAAATCTAGCTGTAAGATGTGTGAACCTCCGTAGCTTATGCCTGGTGCCTCTACTTCCTCTGCTTCTGGGCTGGCATGGCCTCCCGCTATAGTATTGACCACTGCATTTCTGAACTACAGCGGGAGAGAAAAAATACAGCATTATTGCTGATGTTGCTACATTGCTTCCAAGTACAACCCAGAAGTGACAAAGGGTAACTCTAGGAATCGCCAGAAATGATTCCTAGAGCTACCCTTTGTTACTTCCAGGTTGTACCCGGAAGTGACATCAGTGATGTTGCCAAGGTTGCACCCACTTCACCATGTTCCCGCCCCCAGTCCTCCTGCTGGTTGCCAAGCTATGCCTCACAATCCTCTCTGCTGCCTTTGACCCCCTTTTCAATATTCCCTCCCGCTGTTTATCACACAGGCGTCCCGTGCACCGAAAACGATTACAAATCTTGGTCCCCCTCGGACGAGCGAGGCAACGAGTGTCTCCTGGGGCGTAAAACGGTCTTCAAAAGGCGAACCTCCCACGCGACGTGCTTTAACGGGGAGGATTTTGACAGGCCAGTTGTGGTCTCCAACTGCTCTTGCACCAGAGAGGACTTTGAGTGGTAAGTATGTCAGATACCTTGTTAAGGTCTCCTTCTTTTAAGAGGATCATTGGTGACTAAGGGACTAAGGAATGTAACCGCCCAGGTCCAATTTATGGTCGCCTCTTTGCTTGCCTGGTTGGATAGCAGAGGAGAAAGAAACACTGGATTGGAAGCATCCCGTTCGTTACCAGCCTGGGTGAGGGGTGTAGCCAGGATTATTTGAACGTGCTGAGAGCCACCACGAAGAAAAGCTTTCTATTGTTGTAGGGAGTCAGACTGGTGAGGCCCAGGTTCAAATCCACACTCGGCCACAGAGCTCGCTGGGTGACCCTGGATTTGTCATGTTCTCTCAGCCTGACGGACCTCACACAGTCTGTGTGGATAACACAGGGGGAGCTCCTTGAAGGAAAGGCAGGATAGAAATTTGAGACAAATGGACCTTTTTGGTGTGAAGGGCGGGGTATAAATCCAATCTCCTCCTCCTCCTCCTCCTCCTCCTCCTCCTCCTTCTTCTTCATGAAGCCTAAACTCTTGCCTGCATATCCTGTGGGCAGAGTAATTTGTTAATGTGGGGGTGATAACCCCAGTTCTGGGGAAATGCATATCTTGTGCTACAGAATGCATTTTGGCAGCCAGGTTTTGGAGGTTGGAAACCCTCCCCCCTATTATTAGAGTGCTGTGAAATCCACCCCAGGATGAAATTTATTGTATTCATTCAAACGGTTCTCGTCTTCCTTTTCCAAAAATTTCCGGGGGCGTTGTACGATCCAGGCTTGATAGCACAATAGCACTGAAACCAGCGTACAGTTCTGCTCTAATGGATTTCAGGCTGTCACTGGGTTTATTACATAATAAAAAATAATTTATTACAGTTCCAGGCAGCTTTTTTGTTTGTTTTGGCCTCAGTGTTTTAACTTTTTAAAAAATACTGCAATTCATTAGCGAGCATAGGGGTTACTAGTCTTGTGGAAAGAACATAACTCTTGAGTAGCATGCAAATTACAGCTTTGATACTCAGGGGACTTCACTGGGAGAAACACTATTAAAAGCAGGCAGGGTTTGTGCAGATACGGAACACAGCAATCGAGGTACTGACAGTGCCTGGATACTCCGGAGATGCTGCATTTTCCGCCCAGGATTCTGGCCGCCTTAACAAATACATTTTTCTACCGTCTCTAAGAAGTTTGGAACAACACATCTACTTCTCTCTCAGAACTATTCTGAAAGGTGGGCGAGGCTGAGAGAGAGTAAATGGCCGAAGGCCGCCCAGCGGGCGTCTTATTGATGGATTGATTTGATTTGATTTGCATCCCGCCCTCCCTGCCAAGGCAGGCTCAAGGCGGCTTACGTAAGATATATTGAACAACTAAAACACAAATTTCAAATAAAACCACAACAAAATGATTACAAAACAGCATAAAGTGCTAGTGCAGATTCATAACCGATGGCGGAACTAAAACACAAATTTCAAATAAAACCACAACAAAATGATTATAAAACACAGCATAAAGTACTAGTGCAGATTCATAACCGATGGCAGAACTAAAACACAAATTTCAATAAAACCACAACAAAATGATTATAAAACATAGCATAAAGTGCTAGTGCAGATTCATAACCGATGGCGGAACTAAAACACAAATTTCAATAAAACCACAACAAAATGATTATAAAACATAGCATAAAGTACTAGTGCAGATTCATAACCAATGGCGGAACTAAAACACAAATTTCAATAAAACCACAACAAAATGATTATAAAACACAGGATAAAGTACTAGTGCAGATTGATAACCGATGGCGGAACTAAAACACAAATTTCAATAAAACCACAACAAAATGATTATAAAACATAGCATAAAGTACTAGTGCAG